AGGAGTGGAGGATGCTCGATCCTCCGTTCGCTAACTTCGGCGCTGTCTCGAGAGAAAAAGAGCGCGAGCGAGCGAGCGAGCGAGCGACAGAGAGAGAGAGAGAGAGAGAGGGGAAGAGAGAGAGAGAGAGAGAGAGAAGAAGAGATCCGTAATAAAACATTAATTAAAACCGTGAATGGTGAAATTACCCAGCATGGAAGGTGTGTACACAGTTAAGTAGCGAGTCTCTTCCGTGATTAGCGGACGGAGAATCGAGCCTTCCCCAATCCCTGGGCTGAACGGCCCATACGGGCTTAGAGCCCTTACCATCAACCATAATAACAGTAAGACATTAGCGGTTTACGGCGCCTTGGTAGCGCAGGCAAAGCGCCTACAAATATCCGCCCAAAACAGGATCTTTGATTCTCACCATTGTTTCAATTTCCCCCTTGAGGGTGTAATCCACCGGAAGTTTTTATTTCGCTTTTACTCGGCGGCGGCCAGATGCGACGTGAGGCATTTTACGGGCCATAGCCACTCAAAGAACCACTTACAGTCTAGTGGCTGGTGTTATAAAGCCGCCACTAACGACGCCAGAGACATTGATTGCAGGCGGAATGAGACACGCAATGTATCAGCCTCCCATAAAACAAGATGCGCCACAGAACGGCAGATAACCGACCTTGATGGGATATATATGTTTACTGGTAGTTTAGCAGTGCTATTGTTTTATTAGCCCTAGGTGGAGCCTGCTGTGGGGGTCTCTCAGGGTTTGTACTGAGGGTGGTATTGCCCTCAGGGTTTTGTAGTAAGGGAAGTACTGGCCTTAAGAGTTTGTATCGAGGGAGGAAATTTCCTTCAAGGAAGGCACTGAGAAAGATACTATCCTTCAAGGATGTTATTAAGTTACCTTCCTTCAGAAATAGCACAAACATAAAGACCTCCTTTTAAGGAGAGTACAAATGCTGAATTCACTCTCACGGTATTTAATACTTCTGAACTTTACTTACCATGGCCTACAAGTACTGTGTGAGCTCCTTACGGGTTTGGCACTTCACGCACCTACCATGGCAAGTAACTTAAAAAGAAACATCGTCAGCTCCCACAGAAAGGAGGCGCCTTCACTGGCAGACACTCACGAAAATGATTATATCAATGGGAATCCGCTAAACCCGCCGGGTGAGAGTCGTACAGAGATTTGAGGATAGGGAATTAATGAAATTTGATACGAGTCAAGAGCCAGTAACTGAGATTAAGGTTCCTCTTTCTTGAAGGGTCCTGGGATCAAGAGCCCGTCACCAGCATCGAAGCTCCCTCTCCCTACTGTCTCTTCGAAAAGTAAGCAACCGGTTTATAAAATAACTTTACATTTAACTGTTAAAGAGCAGAAAAACGTTTTCGAAGGCTAGTGCCAAAGAAAGCACTGTCCTGGTGCCAAGGGACTGGCACAAGTATCGGAGGGAGCACTCTCTTATTGCCGACAGACTGGCACAAGTGCCAGAAGCCATATCCTGGTACCAACTGGTACCGGAATCAGAGGAAGCACTGTCCTAGTGCCAGTAGATGGCTACAATGGACTCCACACAGAGTGGCAGTGCCACTGTGAGCCACTTTCCTTAACTGGCCCGAGTGGTGCGTGTGTCGCTTCGCTTGCTTTTATGGCCGGCTCGTTTTTTGTAGCTTGAGTGAGTTGACTGCCGAACTAAATGGCAGGGGATACGTGCGGCACTAAAGATACGAGAGGCGGGGCTGAGTTAAGAGGACACATAACCCGCGGATGATGCACAAGGATACATACGCTAAAGAGACAAGGGACAAGTTGTATTAACACGCTACATAACTAGAGAATGATGCAAAGGGACAGAATAACCTGGATGTATAACCTACGTATGTTGTCATGGGATATGTAGCCCCAGTACCTGTTTACAGTATACTATTTCCAATGGGATTTAAATTCGTATTTAGAGGTATGATAGTTACATATTTTACGATAACGTTCAGAAAGCATAAGAGAGCAGATGCGGCCTCGCTCAGAAATATACCCGAGGGGATTATAAGAACTTGCTAACCAAAGAAATACACAAGTTCTACAAGTATTTGTAAGCATTAGTGTTTGTATGCATGGTTACCTTGTGGACGATGTTACTTAACTGGTAACTGGAAAAAGCCCCCTATAATCGGCTTTAGAATTTCGAAACTCGTGTATCTTACTTAGAAGGAGGTTACTATTGTTAATGGTATGTGTATGTGTCATTTCAGCACTTTTAATCTGGAAACAGTACAGTAATACTTCGCCTTGATGCAGGTTAAGGGGGCTCTTGATGCAAAGAAATTGACTTCTCTTCCTTTTGCTTTAACCTAATCTGAATTTCTCCCACTGCTGAAGCGTTTCCTCTGATTAATATAAAACTTTTGTGAAATGGCTGATACAGTCATATGATACGGGTAAAACTTTCCATGGTTAGGCTGGGTAGGTGTAAATTTTGTTGGATTCGGAGCAATAACTGCAAAATACCTCTTTTGGTCAGCTTTACACTTTTACTCTTTACACGTTTTCCTCTAAGAAATCTCTCTTGATTTATTAGTTATTTAAGTAATAATAGGCTAATTTTATTTAATCAAATTACCTTTTGTGAAATATATTGAGAATGTCTCCTCATATCCGCAAAAAGTCAGTGATTGACTATTGGATTATCTTAGGGTAAATCTATATAATGTATTTTTATGTGCCAATAACATCTGCGTGCTTTCAAGACCTTTGTTAAAAATGAGTATGTTATAACTTCCTTAATTATATGTTTAATTACTTACTGTAATACTTGCTTAAAAGCTAGCTAGTCTTACTTAAAGAAAAGTTTGGATTAATTTTGGTCACTGCTCGCCCGATTGCTTTTTAGGGGAAAGAAACTGGGAAAACTAAAATACTGTGTTTAGCGAGATAATTTCTTAGTGTCGTAATCAATTAGCTTCGAGCTCCTTCAAGTTTCGCGTGCTGTGTATTTTAGGATGTTGATCTCTCTGAGATAAGAGAATGTTTAGCATCATAACTAGTTTCTTAGTAGGAAGATTGAATTAGTTTTGGGGTGTGTGTCCTAATTTGCCATTTTTATTCATGTAATTGTGGTATCAACTTCCATATAATAACTTGTGAATGCCTCTTCTGATTCGCTCCATTATACACCACTGCCGCACTCTGTACTGTTCCGATCGCGTGCATTGAAGTTAACTTTGTTGGATTTGTGTCAGTCAAATGTAGAAACATGTGCACGGTCAAAACAGTTCTATTGGAAGCAACAAGGAACCTGGTACATGGTTACGTGCAAGAATGACGAAGAATTTGAAAAAGTATCAATAAATACACAGGAATTTGCTGAGGAGTTATCCATGTCAAAACCAGAGCCAGTCCATGATAGAAGGGGATTATTATCGTTATTATTATGATCAAAACTTAGCGCTAAACCCTCAGGAGACGGTAAACTAATTTAGAATTCCAAGCAAAAGTTCAAAAGGAACTGTAATTCAGCAGTCTTCTGCGTAGCAATACAAATATGCTAGAAGTAATTTCTCTTGTTTCTTGTTTTGACGTCCGTGACATGTAGAAAGTAACATTGTAGCAAGTAACTGAATATATATTAAAACTAGAAAAAACAACGATTCTGTAAATTTGTGAAGTGAATTATGATATATTACCGGACGGACTGAGTACATTTTGAAATTTATATGACAGATATATAGGTTTATGAATTCTCTTGAAGCTTTGTGTGTCTGGCCGCGTTTGCGCTCACTGGACACATTCAAGCTTAACCATGACACAAGAAAGACATGTTGGGTCTTTCACTCTGCTCATGAACATTAAGTTGCTGAAAAACTTGACTTACAACTTATTTACACATTTACCAAAATCAGAAGCACGGAATGTAATGCTTTAATTGAACGCAGACTTCATGCATCTAAATACAAAATGGTATTAATAATGTGTAAATGTAATTGATTATCTATATACGTTACCTCGTGTGATGTATGAGAAAACTGTTTTACTTTGTGTCTATAGGTATATTTCTTTTATGTATAAGGTGGGAGAACCTTGCTATAGGACATACTGGACTGACCCCAGATTAACTAGGCAGAAGCTATGACTTGAGGGAGAGATGTAATCTATGGGATACCTTTGCCAGTCAAGATGAGAGTCAACATTTGAACCGGATTAACAAATCTATTGACGTGAGGATTGTGACTTGGTTTCTTTCAAAATAAATGTTCGAATACAAGATTGGAATTTCATTTTTTTTTCTATTGCTTGTACAGTGATGCATTAATAGCAGATTACAGACTTTAAATACTCAAAATATTTTCATGTTCGTGGATGACTTTAAATTCTGACTTAAAATTGCTTCTCTGATGATTTTTCTCAGAATTATTGTAAAAAATATTAACTGTTATATGCATAAATGAATAAATAATCACAAGATGAAAGTATATATGTTTGCAGTGGTGTTTGAACAGTTACATAAAGTTATAGACAACGGTACCTACATTACCTTATCAAAATTTAGGAGGAGCGCCCATCTGGGGCCCCGGGCCTCCTTAGTTATACACAGAATAATGTTATACACAGATTTTTTTCCTTTTAATTTTCCGGGCTACTATTCCCGCTACTTACTAACTGACATTAATTAACGGAGGAAAACGACGTCACTGACAAGAGGTTTAAAACATGAACTTACCTTAATGGTGGTATACCAGTTCTCCCTCGACGAGCTGTCAGTTCTCACTTACCTGCAATGTAAACACTTATTAATATAAGAGTCTCGGAATCAGTTATATCCTTCACTCGCGTCTTCAGCAAGTATTAACTTATTTACAAACTGTAAATGATATTTATTAAACAAGCACTTGGCAAGGTATGATATATATCATCCGATACAGTGGAACTAAGATAATTGCATATTTTTCACTGTCTAAAATGAAACTCACCTTAACAAGGTGGCAGACGAGGCACGGACGACTCACGTGTGTAGGTGGTGCAGGTGGTGCAGGTGGTGCAGGTGGTGCTGGGACCACTAGCAGGGTTTGGGACCCACCCATCCTAACACAAATGGGTGTGGCAAAGATGCCTCTTATTAAATCATGATTGTTCTTTAACACTATTCTTTGCATACCTTTTTATTACGCAACACTTTTGTTTACGAAGCTTTTGTTTACACAACACTGTTGTTTTTGTTTACACAACACTTGTTTATTCTTTTGGTTACACAACACTTTTGTTTGTCAAACACTTTTCTTATTTTGCTTAGACATCATTTTTTACAATTTTGTTTACACAAGTCTTTCGTTTACATCGCATTAACACAGGACATTAGTGAAGGACATTAGTATTGGTTATGAATAACAATCAAACTAGCCCTTCCCACAAACATGCTTGCCTCATCAACATCTTAATTTACATAACTTGTCGGTTTTCAAAACCATTCATCACACACAGCGGTTATTCTGTTGGTGGGTTGGATTTGTGAAGAACTTGCCTAGTATGGGCCAACAGACCTACTGCAGTGTTCCTCCTTTATGTTCTTAAGTAGGGATATACACACCAAGCTTTGTTGCAATTGTTTATTTATACTTTTTGAATATCTGATTTTTAACTATCCTTGCATATTGGTTTGTTTGCTAAGTTTAAATCCTGTCTACTGCCTGAAGGTCATCACTGCTGCATGACACTTGTTCAACATCTGTCAAGGAGACTTAAATCACTGAAATGGGTATTAAGTTTAACTCGTGGGTGTATATAGTTTGAGAGGGAGAGAGAGAGAGACAGGCAGACAGAGAAAGACAGATGCAGAGAAAAACAGACAGATATAGAGACAGACAGGTAGAGACAAACAAGAGACAGCAAGTTCTCTGAATACACACCTACACGCCTCACGGTGTGTATGCACTAAGAGATACACACCTCTCTGTCTATATAACCTTGCTTGTTAATGCACAGTCGTGCGGCCTGATGGCTCTCTCGCACTGCTAATGAGTCGCCTCACACACTAAAGACAGTTGGAAAAGTTTCTCTTCTAAGCTTCGAAGCTTCATGAACCACTTGACCGAAAGGTTCGTTTCTCCCTGAAATATGTCGCCCAATATTCGCATTTATCACAATAAATATTATTTCACACTAATATATAGTTAAGCAACACGACTATAGTATCGCACGCTACATGAGGCATGCTTAAGTTTGCAGTTTACCATAGAGTAATATGCTCAACGAGGAAATAATTCAGTGTCTTACTTTTCAGACCAGTAAACTTGACTCTCACCTTCCAACATGAGCTGTAATTTTAGTTTCGTTATTATTTCTCTCTTAGATAATTTTTAAATATATTAAATTTTATTTTTCGTGGGGAAAAAAATTGTACACAGATATGATGTCTTCTCTGGCCAGGGGAATGGCATGGAGTTTATATTTACGTCAAATGGGAGGGGAAACTAGGATATTTTGATGATTTGATGAGGACTCAGCGCCTCCATGATAATAGAAGGGGTATGTCACACTGCTATAAATAGATAAACAACTACTTCTTTTACCGCTAACTAAAATTCGTAAATGTGCTGCTTGCTAACAGTTATTAATTAACTGTTCAAAACTACGTCAGTGACATCTGGTGTAAAACATTAAATTAACTTACTGATGGCGTACCAACTCTCCCTCGATGACCTGTCAATTCTCACTTGTCTGCAAGGTAAATATCAAAACTTATTAATGAACGAGAACTAGTCGCATGTATTCTCATCAACCTGCATCTTATGTAAGCATCCCCAGGAATACCCTTTACCCAGTACATGCAAGCATCCCTGCTATACCTTTTAACACTACTTTCTGAAGGTATCCCCAGTTTTACCCTTCAACCAGCATCCTCTACAAGCATCCCCAGGAATACATCCTTCAACTGCTCCTTCTGAAAGCATCCTGAACAAATAATTTAGAAATTTTTTGATACAATATATTAAGAACTAGTTGAGTTTGCAATAGTATAACTCATTCTCACCATACAATGGATCTAAAATTATTAAAATTCCTCAAGTCTAAAAGATGACCTTCAGATGTTATGCCATTCAAGAAGGCTTTCTCCGTATTCCCTAAGCCCAGCTCCCTGTACCTAGAAAAACATAAAATAAAAAACGCAGGGTGGCCAAAGAATTTTAATACTGTGTAAAAGGATGTGTGTGTGTGTGTGTATGTGTACCTGTGCTGTGTGCATGCTTATATTTATATGTATGTATGTATGCTTTTAGCATGTGCATATGTATACGAAAGCGTGGGTGTTTGCATGTTTATGTGTGTATGTACGCATATGTATATATATGCATGTACGTATATGATATGCATGTTTATGTCGTACAGAATGGGTAAAACTGGTCAATTAGCATGAAATCATTTAAAATTAAGTTCTTTCTAAAATTTTCTCTTAAACGTTTCAAGATATATTTTGTCATTTATGTTAATGTAAAAGTTAACAGTTTTGTACCAAAAGAACCTTAGAAAACTTACCTAACCTTTTTATAAGAGAGCAGTTTAATTTAGCCTAATCCAACTAAATATATTTTAGATGAGTTTACAATAATCTAATAATAAACAAACACAGTGAAATATTTTTTTTTTCGTTAGGTTCAGAATGATTTTTGAGAAATTATTGCATTCTCAAATTTTCGTTTGCCTTATTCGGCAAGAAGAGCGTTGCTATTTAAGCCAAAATCGTAAGTTTTACCTATTCGGCACGACATTATATATTATATATATATATATATATATATATATATAATATATATATATATAATATTTAATTTATATATATTATATATTATATATATATATATATATATATATATATATATATATATATAATATATATATATATATGTCGTGCGAATAGGCCGAACTTCGATCTTGGCTTAAATAGCAACGCTCATCTTGCCATATAGGACAAGTGAAATTTGTGTAGACAATAATTTCGCCAAAATCATTCTAAACTAACTAAAAAATATATTTCACTGTGTTTGTTTAGTATTAAATTATTGTAAACAAATCTAAATATTATTTAGTTGGGTTAGGCTAAAATAAATTGTTGTTGTTATAATAAGGTTAGGTAAGTTTTTAAGATTCTTTGGAGCAAAATTAAAATTTTTACATTAACATTAATGAAAAAAATATATCTTTAAACGTATAAGAGAAATTTTAGAAAGGACTTAATTTTAAATGAGTTCTTGCTAATTGACAGTTTTACATATTCGGCACGACATATTATATATATATATTATATATATATATAATTATATATATATATATATATATATATATATAATTATATAATATATATGATATATATATATATATAAAATATAATATATATATATATATTATATATATATATATATATATATATATATATATATATATATATATATATATATATACGTAGATGTTCTTGTGTATGTGTGTTTAAACATGTTTATGATAAACGCAGACGAGCTAAACTCAGTCCAAAAAACTTATGCATAAGAATCACTCTCAGTACTTAGCCGAGCAGCTCCCGTAGAGTTGAGCGACTTGAAACTGAAATTGTTCAGTGTTTATGAGAATGATTTTCAGAACGTTTATTCTTCCATCTATATATTGGAAACCAATAGACCGATCTTAAGACCACAAGTTGTCCTCATTAAAACTATAAATGGACACATAATAGACCATAAACTGTAAGAAATATATTTCCTGAATTAGACTTAATATTTATGTTTCCTCTAGGCTTTAGATAAAAATTATCTTCAGAATTGATAAAGGGAACTAAGAAAAAAAATTATGTAGCTAGATTAAAGACGTTCTAAATATTCATTGAATTTATCAACTTGTTGACCTATCTTTTAGTGGACCAGAAGAGTATAATAATCCTCAAATGAAATGATAAAATTAGCTAAAACAGAGGCTGCTATAGAATCATCAAAAATAATCAAGGCTTCCTCTAAGCAAGACACTTTGACATTGAAAGTTTGAAGCCAATCACATGAGGCGTTCCCTAGTTATTACAAGGAATCGAACTATGGCAAGTATTTTTTTTAACTATGTTAGTACAATTTATTAACAAATTTGCACCTACATAACCTAAAAATACAAGTTATCATCCTTTTCACAAAATACATCAATATCAACAGGGTCTTCTGAAAATAAATCTGTGATTGGTCTATACAGTACTGACCAAATGCGCAGCTGCATGCGTCAAAACACGACTCACGAAATCGTAATAACACGATTGCAAACAACGAAACAGTTGGGACTAACGCACTGGCCTGTTGAGTTTCAGAACTCACTCGCCATGGGTTCAAAACTCCACTCGTTCCGTGGTATATTAATACATGTATAAACTTGCCATGGAATTTGAAGCCTTTCGCATGAGGCATTCTTAAGTTACGAGCGGATAAAATTCAGAAAAAAAAGGAAAATCAGCCAGCCATTTAAAACGCTCCTCCTCTTGGGATACCTAATTACGTTTTCAATATAATGATAAAACCTTTTTAACTCACCAGCGATTAACCACTGATCAGTGAACAAAAAAATTCTTCTCAAAGGTTTTCTTCAAGCAAATTCTCTTTGTGAAGGTTCCTTTATCCTATTGGCCCCCGCCACCGCGGTAATTGAGATTGATAGCCAATAGTGGGAGCCGAGAGCAGCGTAGCAGAGCTCGCGTTCTTCCTAGTTTCTCGCTTCCCGTTTACCTGCTCTCATTTATTTTTCTTTGCTGCTTATTCGTTGAACACTTCATGTAGCAAACACTCTCCTTCACCTTTCCATTTATTTATTAATATCTTTCAGCATATTTTCTAAATAAAAATTTTCTTAGCTCAGACCTCTCGTCTTCCCTCTTTTTCTATCACCTTTCTGTGTATTTTTTTCCTAATGCTAAACATTGTTTAGTCTCCTCCCGCCGCTCCATAATTACCTGGAGTTTACCTGGAGTTCCAGGGGGTCAACGCCCCCGCGGCCCGGTCTATGACCAGATATTTATTCCATAAATGTTATATAGAGTAGGCCTAGTTTCCGTGGGATTCCCCATTAAGAGCATTTATTATAGCTATACCAAATCTGATAAAGTTTTTGGATTCGTAAAATTTCCTATTAGACTAACAGATATTAATTAACTGTGGAAAACTATGTCAGTGACATCTGGTGAAGGATGATGAAAGTTTTTCTTTTTCGAACCACCCTACCTTGGTGGGAGACGGCCGATGTGTTAATAAAAAAATGATTCTTTAGTGCGAGAAGTAAAATCCACAGGTGCCGACGCCCTAGCAGGCTTAGAGAAAAGAAACGAAAGGAAGAGATTTAGGCCTTGAGATATACGGACAAAATGGTGTGCACTTTCTGTGGTAACCTCAACATGATGATAATGGTAGAAATACCGATAAATTGTTAGGTAAAAGGGCACAGATGGAATGAATGTGACAGTTTATTGTGGCAACGTTTCATTCTCCAGGAACTTTGTCAAGCCGTTATCGTTACGCTTGGCAAAGCTCCTGCAGAGCGAAACGTTGCCACAATAAAATGTCACATTAGTTGCAGCCGTGTACCTTTACCTAACAACCTCCACATGAACTGCAACGCTAACGCTGCCATCCGTAAGAACGAGAGAAGGCACATACTCGGAGACTGTAGAAGACATCATTAGTCCCTCAGCCTTACAGAATTATACGCCACTTACAGGTATTGATATACTACTGATAACTGAAAATGGTAAGATACAAATGACTTACAAAACCGACAAGTTGATAAATGAGACACTTATTCAACATTCAGCTATCTTTATTCTGGAAATGTTTCACCACGCAGTGGCTTCCTCAGTCCAGTACAGAGAAAACTGGAAGATGAGAACTGAAGAAGCCACTGAGCGGTGAAACATTTCCAGAATAAAGATAGCTAAATTTTGCACACGTGTCTCATTTATCATCATAACTGAAAATGGGTTGGCCACAACGAGACGAAAAATAATTTTTTCAATGTAAGAATGGGAAATTAACTGGAATGATTTGAACTAAGATTATGGAAGCTGATTAAAATATATTCGTGACATGGCTATTCCTCCCAATGACCAAGAACTAGAACTCAACCCCGCAGATTTAAATTGGTCATTACAAATTAGTAATTAAACAAGTTGGCCAGCCTCGTTATCCTCGGCTCAGTGTAAAGGCTTGTTTAATCAGCCTCGTTAATGAACAGAGTGACCGATTAAATGCCCTCATTGAAAACTCTTTACAGTGATATGAATGATTGATTAAAACCTCCTGTTAGTGTTGTAGCGAGTGAAAGAATCAAAAGAATAAATGCACTCGTTATTTTTTTGATCATTTACTCGCTCGGCGGCTGATTAAATGCCTACACTGATTACTTTCTCACCCAAAAATCAGTTTATAGAAAGAAAACAATAGTTTTAAAAGCCATATGCCGATAGAAAGACAAAATACATGTAGCAAAACAAGCCTTACACTCTAATGAAAGTCTTATCAAGCTCTTTAGAGAGAAACGTTGTCTCATAGAAAGTTTTGTTTTGCTGTATGTCTGTCGTAGAGAAGAGGATGAACAATTAAACCATTTCATTGATATTTCTTGATAGCTAAATGGAAGAGAAAATTTCGTGATTCCCTCTGATAAACAACTGATTAAACACGTTCGTGGAACAAACTCCCGAGTACCGCCGTAGAACCTAAGACGTTGTGTAGTTTTAAAAATAGGTTAGTTAAATACATGAGTGGATATGGGTTGGTGTGAGTTGGACCTGACTAGCTTGTGCTACTAAGTCAGATGCCGTGCTCCTTCCTTAAGTGAATGTGACTGACCTGACTAAGTCAAGGCATTGGCTTAAGCAGGTGGGAGAATTGGACCTACCTCGCATGGGCCAGTAGACCTGCCGCAGGGTTCCTTCTTTCTTATGTTCTTATATTCAGTGGTGATCAGAGTATTAACAATACGTCTACGACTCAAAGTTTCCTATCAACCATTAATGCAGTATACTCAACACAAAAATTAAAATGAATAAATATTTTTCTTTAGTTGTTCATCCCTTGCCTCTCTGCATATAAATTTTTAACTTTTGCTTTTATATTTAGGTCCAGAGATTACTAAGCAGTTCATATGTACACTTATCTATCTCTGTAACGTATTGTTTTATTGCATGTATTTAAAGAAGATGGCAGGCCTTGTTAACCTCTGCTCAATGTAAAGGCTTGTTTATATGTGTGTGTGTATATATAATATATATATATATATATTATATATATATATATATATATATATATATAATATATAAAATAATATATATATGCAATAAGATCACAGTAAACAGGTGATTTCAGAATATGCAAAACAACCACTCTGAAAGAATAGAGAAATTCCAAGCGCTTTCGTGACTACTCACATTATCAAGGAACTATGAATTATTATTAGATCCATTCATAATTAATAGAATTTGGGAAGAATTTAATAATACACTGGACAAATAATAATTTTAAAAATTTTCTTGGGTAGAATAGTTTGTTGGTGGGTTGTGCAAAGGACCTGTCCAGTTGGGCCGGCGCGCGTCAGGTGTTTAACCGTTGTGGGATCTGATAGTGAGGTGTTGGCCAGACCCCTTATATACCTTCCTTGGATGCTTTACTTTCATAGTTCCTTGATAATGTGAGTAGTCACAAAAGCGCTTGGAATTTCTCCATTCTTTCAGAGTAGTTGTCTTGCATTATATATATATATATATATATATATATATATATATATATATATATATATATATATATATATATATATATATTGTCGTGCCGAATATGTAAAACTGGTCAATTAGCAAGAACTCATTTAAAATTAAGTCCTTTCGAAAATTTTCTCTTATTCACTTAAAGATATATTTTTTTTCATTAATGATAATGTAAAAATTTTTAATTTTGCACCAAAAGTATCTTAGAAAACTTACCTAACCTTATTATAACAAGAACAATTTATTTTAGCCTAACCCAACTAAATATATTTTAAATACGTTTACAATAATTTAATACTAAACAAACACAGTGAAATATATTTTTTTCGTTAGGTTCAGAATGATTTTGGAGACATTATTGCATACGCAAATTTTCACTTGTCCTATATGGCAAGATGAGCATTGCTATTTAAGCCAAGATCGCAAGTTCTGCCTATTCGGCACGACATATATATATATATATATATATATATATATATATATATATATATATATATATATATATATATATATATATATAATTCCTAATAAATTAAACTTGTCGAATAGGCCTAACATCCCTATCAGGTCCTCATCCTCTGAGAAAGGCCCGTGCCAGGAGACACTGTTTCCTGAATAACAAAATAATACCACTAATTCCTCTTCCGTCACTGTTAAACTTATTCTATGTCTGTCTGTCTCTCTCTGTCTCTCTCTAAGCTTGCATGCTTTAAAACAAATATATTAGGAATAAAGCTGTCAATTTGCGTCAATTAATTTCTAAGCCATGTCTTTGCAATCATTTTTTGCTAAAACATTACTGAATATCTATATTTTGTATTAATACAAATAAACACTTACATTATAATATATATATATATATATATATATATATATATATATATATATATATATATATATATATATATATGAAGATTGAGACACTTATGCAGCATATGGGAATCTTTATTCAGGAAACGTTTCGCCACACAGTGGCTTCATCAGTCCAATACAAAGAGGAAGGCGTAAGGAGAGGAGGAGAATGAGGTAATCAGTCCCTCACACATATATAATATATATATATATATATATATATATATATATATATATATATTTATATATGTCGTGCCGAATAAGCAGAACTTGCGATCTTGGCTTAAACAGCAACGCTCATCTTGTCATATAAGAGAAGCGAAAATTTGTGTATGCAATAATTTCGCAAAAATCATTCTCAACCTAACGAAAAAAAATATTTCATTGTGTTTGTTTAGTATTAAATTACTGTAAACGTATTTAAAATATATTTAGTTGGGTTAGGCTAAAATAAATTGCACTTGTTATTATAAGGTAAGTTTTATAAGATTCTTTTGGTGCAAAATTATAAATTTTTACATTAACATTAGTGAAATATACAAGGAATTCGCAAGAGCAGGCGAAATATACACAAACACTGAACTCTGGCTGAAGGAGACTCTAACCTACGAACCTTGGAACAAGGTACGCAGTGCTTTACCAATCTACCCACACTGGACAATACCTTGGAGTCCAGCTTGTGCTAGATTTTGATCCAAGGCAGCCAGCTTTCAGGGAGAAGGCTTACAGCTTTTCATCTCATCCCCTGCATGCATCAGCCTTACTAGGGATTTTAACAATGCAAGGAATTCGTAAGAGCAGGCAAAATATACACAAACACACACACACACACACATAATATATATATATATATATATATATATATATATATATATATATATATATATATATATATTTCTGGACGAACATGTTCCAGAATGAAAGTAGGGGGAAAAATGAATAACTGGATAGATTGATGTTGTTTAGAAAGGTACAGATACAGTGAAGCTTCAGATGGCTGCCCGTCTTGTGAATTAATAAGTGCCAATCGGCTGTACATGATACACGGCCAGGAAGGAGACCTTGAGAACATTGGCCTTGTGCATAACAACAAAGCTAGGTCGATCCTCCTGTCTTCTTATTCTTCCTCCTCCTCTCTCTCTCTCTCTGTCTGTCTGTGTCTGTCTGTCTGTGTCTGTCTGTCTGTCTGTCTGTCTCTCTCCCCCTCTCTCTCCCTCTTTTCCTCTCTCTCTGGCGTGAGACAAACATAATGAAGTGTAAAATAAACCCAGTGAAAAGCCGACATATCAGAGAGAGCACTCTCAACTTCCTTGCTCTTAGACTTTTCAACTTCAAACTAGCAGAAGTCTTTAAATAAAAACTGGAACTCTCCCGCTACATTACCAGATTAACCAGACTGCGAAAGACGCTTTGGCCAGTGGACTTCTAGAACCAACAGCCTGACTGAACACACAATAAGCAATGATCAAGCCGTGCTGAGAGGGAAGAAACGCCCCAGCCTAACTTTAAAATTAGTCCCGTACAAGTCTCAGGAATGGAAGGAAAAAAAAAATGGGTGGGAGTTCACACCCATGGCAAGTGAATCGTAAAAACTCTATGGGTTCAAACCCCTCCCGTTCCGTGGTTTGCTTGCAATCGTGTTATTGCCATTTCGTGATTCACAGTGGAAGGAACATTTTGAAAGAAAAAAAATGCAGTCTGACGAGGTTGAAAATTCAGTCATCTGTTCCAGATTCAAATTAAGTCCTTTAGAAAGGAGTTCCTTTGTATCTTATTGAATTATGATATTCATTTATTTAGATACAATGAAGGTATGATAGTGAATGTGAGTGTCCTATGGGTAACTAACTAGCTGGAATACGACCGATGTGGTGAGAATTTTTATCTTCAAATATTTCCCTATTGCTTGTACTTTTTCTTATTACGTAGCCTTCCTTGCCGTTGCCTTGTTCTCGTATATATATATACATGATGTCGCATCGCCTGGCTGAATCAGACAATCGTAAATTTCTGCACAAAATTAATCCTGTGGTGAATAATGTACCAGTGTCGAGAACAAGAAATATATTGAAAACAAGCCTTTACTGGGACAACATTTCGCTCCGCACCAAGTGAAACGCTGTCTCAGTGAAAGCTTTGCAATATGGGTCTTCACAATTGTGGAAAGTACGTAATATAGATCCATAAAATGTTCAACACATGAAACCCTTGTTCAGGTCCTTACATAACTGATGGATTATTATTATTATATTTAAAGGGAAGCACTGAACCCATAGGGTTCATGTTCGATTCCTTGAATCGCACGAGCCCCCTCACTGGCCCCTCACCGCATTGGTCTAGCGTAACAATATCTTACGTCGTCGTTTGTCTCCCGACGTCAACTTGCGCCTCTTTGCGCATCTTTTATATCGTTATAAATCGCCATATCGTAACATCTTACGTTTTATTTCGCCATTTGCGTAGCACTGTGGATGGTAGGGGCCGATAAACCTTACCGTAATGGGTCTGGTTAGCACATGGATGGGGCACCTCTCTTGTTGCTAGTGAAAAGATTCTCGGTTGTCGTGGAAAAGCTCTTAACCCGTAGGAGTCATGTAGAACTTGGGGAACAGGAGGTGAAGATTTTGGAGCAATGATGAGGGAAGGTAGTGCCACTTCCCTGGATTAATCAAAGGTTCGATCGTATCCCTTATCACAGCTTTAAGATTATTTCTCTCTGGTTAAGAGGATCCTTTATCCTAGCTTTAGAGGATATATTGCTCCATCCTTGATAGGATTCCTTAACCCATACTTTAATTGCTAGTATGTTCCACTGTAGATGTGAGAAATTATGGGCATGCGCTTCACAGGCATTAACCTAAATTCTTACATGCATAGAACTTGGGCCAGGTACAACTAAAGTAAATATTTCACTTACTGATGATAGTTGTACCTCGGAGATATGATGGACTTTAGGCACAATGGGTCGCAGCATTGCAGCTCCCTCGATGCTCCACTCCAAACCACACTCACACGAAGTTTGACCTATAATAATTAAATATACATTTAATAAAACCAGTAACTCTGGTAAATCAGAATATGTGGACTGTATATTTTGGTTCTGTCTGAAATTATTCAAAACTGGTTGGGTCCATAGCAAAAGTTAATAACAAAAGATTGCACATCTACAATATTATAAACAACCCTTATCAAATACTTTCCACATAATTATTGTTGATAGAGCTCATCCTAACGCCTTCCTGACACAGACCCTGCAACCACATATAGGCGAGTACATATATGAGTAAACACATGCACAGGGAGCAGGGAGACAGTGGAGCTATTAGCGACTAACAAAGAGGCAGGGCTAGGTGTAACTCGACCCCTGCAACCACAAAGGTAAGTACACACTGGACACGGATTTGCTATTTCACACGTTACCCAGCACGTTCAAAAAATATGATACTTGTAATGGAAAAGGCTAAACACAGTGTTTGATCCTTGTAACAGTATTATTAAGGTTGTCGGAGACGACCTTAATAATATGCCGAGACCTCTAATCAAGGGATTCATTTAAATTCCCTGGTTCGTCATATGCCCTCTTTCCTTTTTATTCTTGGGAGTTTCTCTTCCTGTCTTCTCAGTTTTTGTTTCCTCAGGAGGGGGAGGTGCCTTTGGACTCCACACTTCACCTACACTCGCCTTGCAGTCCGCATAAGCTTTACGGGATTCTTGTTTGGTGTCGGAATATCCTAATGTGTTGACAACTTAGTGTAGAATGCTTTACTTTTGTTAAGTATTGTCTAATGGCTTGGCCTTCAAATTTATTCCTTTGACCAGTCCTCAGTTCATGGTTAGGCTCACCATGGTGAGAGATGAACGGGAACGGGATTTACTTATGTACTGGATGTGTACGTATTTAAGTGTCGTACAAGACGTTCCAATCACGAAGATAATTTTCTTCATCCTGATATGTCTGAACCACCGTGTCATCATATGACTAAGACCGCGCCAGGAAACACTTGTCCTGTTCCCTGACAAACCTAACCTGTGATATAAATCCACCCTGTGGGTCAGTTATTTTTATTTAAGAGACATACAAGTCTGTTACTGTGTGTGACTCAACGTGGTATTCTCTGTTAGTCTACCTTCGAGTACAGACATCATTATTGAGGAACTCCAACTATTTTGATAGTGATTGGAAGTTCTTTCAATGTCTCTCTAACATCTCGACTTGTGTGATTGCTCCTCCGGATGAGGAATTAATATTGTTATATTAACTTTGCTTAGTCCTTTATTTTTCTCTCTCAGCTTAGGTTTATTAAATGTCTGGTCAAAAATTATCACTTACTTCATCTGACTTTTTATTCTTCCTTTTTATTTCCTGGTTATCAGTTTGTTCCACTTTTTTTGCCTAATTTCCTTATTCTCTGTTCCATCCCTGTTAAAAATAATAATAAATCTTGAAAATAAAAACATGTCTAAAAACATTTATTTTAATATGTATAATAATTTTAGGGCTTTCTTCGTGCCAAAAAAAACGAAACATCAGTAGGAAAAATACCTAAATTATTTTAATATGTTTCACGTATGAATTATGCATGATTTATCAAATTAAGTAGTATTTAATTAAACTTTCATTTATACATTTCGACCTCTGACGTTACCTAATTATACATGGTACTGTATACAAACACAGGTCAACCCCACACTGGGAAGTGATTCTGGGAATACCAACACTCCAGGAAAACTCTCTACATCCCTCGTAATGGAGATAAATGGCATAAAATATCGACACGATGGAAAAATAAACACAAATGCAATATAATATGACCCTTTATTGATAACGTTTCGCTCACACAGTGGACTTGATAAAGTCCATTGTGTGGGCAAAACGTAGTCAATAAAGGATCGTATTGTACTGTATTTGTGTTTATTTTTCCAACGCCCCTCGCAATCGGGACTTAATCCCTGTTGATGTCATTTCGTTACTGACGTTTAACTGTACGTAAATATAGTTTAGATTAACGTAATATGAAAAAAAAAATTTTTTTTGATGAGGTTTAGATCGTGCAAAATCAACGAACTTTATTTTTAGGGGAAAACCTGTCCAGTATGGAAGGGACGCTGATTATTATCGTGGTAAGCACTAAACCCGTAGGGGTTATACAGTGCCTGTTGGGAGGGGGGGATGGGAGGCATACAGGCTCAGTTCAAGGAATTGAAGCACAGATCCCGTTCCCTAGATCAAGAGCCCCCTCACCCGCATCAAGGAACTTCTCTTGAGGGACGAGAGGCTGATGAACAAGCCACCATGTGGGACAACCTTGTGGATTGTTTACGTTGTCCTGCGTTCACGTATGTGTGAAATCTCAATTCACATATACTGGTCCAGACATAATTCGCTTTACCGAGAATAATCACATTTGGCTTCACTGAATTGTCATCAATTATTTTAACATGCAAGGGGCAGCAGAAATTCCATTAAGTTCAGTGTTCATCATTTTTTTGTCTCTGTTTTAGAGGGTTACGTGATGTACAAAATATTTATCAAGAGGATGGTCATTGGATTAAGATTCTCGTCAGGTGATCCTCCATGACTAATGGGCAAAATTATTCTCCTTAAATCAATTTATGCTGTACCCTTATTGCAACTAATCCCAGGACGGCTGTGATCCTCACATCGTGGGCGTTGTGAAAACTCTCCGTCCTTTCCTGAGTGCCTGTGTAATCAGTTAACTAACCCCCCCCCTCCCTACTAGGTATAGATGTATAATAAAGCTATCAGTCAGTTTTCGAGAGGTTTGGCTGGGGCTCGAACCAAGGTAAACAACATGCGAGTCGTCCACTCTTACTGTCAAACGAATTTCGACGAGATAAGGAATTCGATTCCCGTTGAGTTTAGCGAAAAACAATTCTCGACGAACAAACCTTCGCGGCTGCCGAACCCAGAGTGAAATACGTCACGATATCCTTACTACCCTCCCTAGCCTGTCAGTTTAGGCTGACAGATTCCATCACGTACGAAACCCATCTTGTGTGATGGATATGACGGGTAAAAAAAATACCTATTTTTGTTCCGGCTATGAAACAGTCGTACAGAATAAAGTAACAACACACTGCTGATGTATCCCATGGTAGATAAAAAAAATATATACAAATAAATCTATAAACATTCACTAAATAAATATGTGATTAGAGCTGACAAGCGAAGGTTCACTACCTACTCGTCCTTTATAGAGGAAAAAAGCTTATCCTGACTTTTTTCCTAAACACACAATAAGTGTAGTAAATATGATATACAGAATGTCACATCGAACATCCGTTAATGTCGACTCACCTCTGTTTTCAAAGGTAACGTAAGTGTGTTTCTCTGTCCTGACTGCCAGTTATGATTACCAATAGCAGCGATCATAACCGCTTTTGGCATAATTTTGGTCCTTAGAATTTGCCTTCCTGATCTCAGTACGATTTAATTTACGTATAATTATCACCTATGTCATTATCCTTAATTAAATATTATCCGGAATATATTACTGTCGTGCCGAATAGGTAAAATTGGTCAATTAGTAAGAACTCATTTAAAAAAAGTCCTTTAGTAAAATTTTTATACGTTTAAAGATTTATATTTTTTTTCATTTATGTTAATGTAAAAATAAATAATTTCGTACCAAAAGAACCTTAGAAAATTTACCTAACCTTATTATAACAAGCACAATTTTATTTAGCCTAATCCGATTAAATATATTTTAGATAAGTTTACAGTAATTTAATAAACAACGAAATATATTTTTTACGTTAGGTTCAGAACGACTTTTGCGAAATAAAAAGTAATAACAATGGTTATAAATGACCATAATTTTTAAAGGGGTGGACCGGTAAGCCAGCGGAAGGCCTCGGTCAGATGACCAAAAGCTCGAAAGACGGGTCATCATCTGACTAAGACCCGCGTCAGGAAACATTTGTCCTGTTTCCTGACGAACCTTACCTAACCTAACCTAACCTTTTGCGAAATTACTGCACATGCAAATTTTTGCTTGCCTTATTAGGCAAGAAGGGTGTTGCTATTTAAGCCAAAATCGCAAGTTTTACCTATTTGGCACGACATTATCATCCCTAGTCTCTCTTATTACAATATTTTTCACATTATAATAAGTATATTTTTTTCAAGACAGCGTGGAAAAATATTCTCTTTATCTTATATTGAGCATTAAATAATGTTGACATTCGTCATGAAAGATAAGAAGTGCCTCCTGACGGGTCTTCATGTCAAATAATGAATCGTAACTAACAGTCATGCACTGGATTACCGGTGTTGGGTTTTAAACTGGGTTTTAAGCTGCGAACATCAGGGTGTGTTACTGGATTTAAAGCCTATCGACTACACGACTTGCTAAAGCTACATACACCTATACACCGCCTGTCAATGATACTTTAATTAAGGGTTCTTCAGATCCTCAAAAGACAGGATTACAGTAAATTTTCAGCATATATACACAAGGATATATACACCTCTCTGTGTATATAACCTTGTGAACACAAAAGTATATCACCGATCTGCACTGTCATGTGGGGCGACTGTGACTCATACAGAATGGCTGATAATCAGGTTTGAGATATAGAAGAGAACGATGGCTTCATTTCCTTGGAACGAGAGCGCTTTCCGGAATCATGGCACCCCTACTCCCTAGGGAAAGGTATATCCCATAAATGTTGAACTTAGTATGAAATATTATTTAGTTTACATACACATACAAGGCGGTAAACCCGTGTGGGAGTCATTAAGCCTAAGGTAAGGGAGAGGACTGATCTTACGGTTCCTTACGAGTTAGGCTGCTGATGACTGCATAAGTAATTTAGAACTTATTAAGGGCATGTGAGAGGCATGCTAATAACCTTAGCCGTTGAAAGACCGTAAACAGAACAAAAGGTGAACAAAGATGCAACGACAGGTAGCAGACACAAGAACAGTGGGTGAAAAAAATGTGGATTGATGAAAAGTGTAAAGATAGTCCCAAGGGTGAAGAGAGTCCCAAGGGTGAAGAGA